CATGGTTTTCATTTAGGTTACTGAGGTCAAAGGTTAAAAAGGAATAAACCAAAGTAAAATAATCCTCAAAATTAAGAGGTGAAAAACTACTGAGAAACATTTTTTTTAAACACACAGCAACTTAGGGGTTATATGTGATGAACAGGCCATCAATACAGGGATGAGGTGAATATTAATAGACGTTAAAAAAATAAAAAGCAAAATACGGCACGTAGAAAACTGGTTTTCGAAGAATCCTTTAATATATTGATAATAAGCATATTTCGTTTCGTCTAAAGATGCGAGTGAAAGGGATTCGTAAGTTGGACTCATCGGAAGCCGGGGGATGGCCTTCGAGTTGTGGCTGTATAAAAGCGCAAGTAAGCTCTTAAAGCATCACTCCAGAACACGGATAAATCCTTGCGGAGCTTCTGTCCTTCATGTGATAGACATCGTAAGAGCAGAACACCATGTTTTACAATAGCTCACCAAGTTTAGTGAACTTACGAACCCTTTCCACTCGCCACGTCAAACAAAATGAAAGGTATTCTAACATCTTCCCAACAATTACATAATGAAGATAATGGAAGAACAGAGAAGTTAATATTACAAATATATTCACTATCAACGGTTTTGAAATTCTACTCACGACACAAAATGGAATACGCCATTTAAATACCTGAGAGACGAGCTGATTAAATACGGACTTGTAGTCTCTGGTTGAAGATGCCTTAGGGGGTGGAGTGCCAGAGCCAGAGAGGTTAGCCTGCAGACCTTTCGAAGAATGACCTCTAGTCAGGCCCGTGACTGGTAAAGAAGACGCCTGGAATAATGGAGTCTGGGTTGAATGGTCATTTTGCCTAGCCGAATCAAGAGTATGATTCATTCCAGTAGACAGATTATAGGCTTCAGAATTGCTGAGATTTGGCTGAGTCTGAAGCATAACACTGACTTGATTGATGGGTTTAATGCTGTGATGGAGCAGAATAAAAATTTTGGAGCATAAGCAAATGGCTACGATTATTTAAAAAATATTGTGGGTGCGTAAACTTGATGACTAAAAAAACAATGAAATTTGTTAATCAGGGTTGACGAGATCGTGAAAATATTAAACTAATCCAAAAAGCTCGAGAAATTCGGCTCAAGAAAATACTTGATCCTTAGTACTTTCGGAAGAAATTAATGGCAAATGAATTAGTATTAAAAAAGAAGAGGAAACCATGAAATACTGTGAATCTTCCGTTTTAAATAAAAAAATAATTATCAGTCAAGTTGGATAATTATTGAAGAAAATTATATCAGTGGTTTTTATTAGAAATTGAAGGTACAGGATTTATGTCTATTGGACATAAGCCTAGTCAAAGCCCCAAGCTTAACACTTTTATAGAGAAATAAAATAGTTTCTATATCATATCAAGAAGAAGGAATTCTGATAAAAGAATAAAATGAGGTGAAACATTCATGACCAGGAAATTACTTTTCCATTTTGGAGTACTGAAGTGCCACAGAACGAAGAGGTTGTGGTCCAATGAGATCTGTATCTCGTTCCGGCTCTTTAGTCTCAATTGCTTGCCATTGTACGCCAGCATCACTCTTTGATATGACATTGGAAAATGGATTAGGTGGCCAAAATTCGCCATTGTTAGGTTCTAGAGGCTGCATACATTTGGAAGAACTGGATGATGCAACAGAGTTGCATGAAAGACAGAGAGGCCGTTGTGTCTGTTTGACAGAAGAATAAATAAGATATTTGCATTATTAATATAGGCAAACATATGTAATAAGATAAAGAGGATATATATCGACCGAACCGATAAATTGCCTGCATTACTATATAATTGACAGGTTACAGAAAAATGAGAGCTAAATAGATGGCTTTAGTCCTGTTGCGAATCATGTAGTAATTAATATAGCGGTCTGATAAATCTGTGACAAATAATAACGAAATAAGAGACACAAAACGACCTTTTTGATGTAACGCCAAACTAGGAAAGAAAAGATTAAAATAATAGCATAGAACCTGACTCGGATTATAGGATAATTTTTTGCAATTCTTGAACGTCTAATGACAAGCATTCTTTCAAAAGAGCAAAGTTAACAATGAAGTGATTTAACAAAAAGGTATTTGAACTTTAATTCAATTTATTCCTTCATATTCTCCTCTCAAATTAAATCTGCCAATATAAACCACACTATTTAGTCATGCCCTGTGTTTAAGCCACCCCCCCAAAAAATAAACAAGGCGGCATGAAAAAGTCATTTCCGAACTGAAAAAATTATACATGAGTAGCTGGTGAATGGTGAATATGTCCACTAAGTGTAGAGAGATCTCTGTACACTGGTTGTGAGACCATAGAGCGAGCCATCATCAATTCAGATTGCTTGGCATCTTCAAGCCGACGCCGCAGCCGCCATTGGGCCAATAGGTCTCCAGAATCTTCCAAAGTCAAGGGCTCTAGCAGTCGGAGATTGGATTGGCAGACAGGAGAAGCATATAAAAGAATAAAATTTGAATGTATTGTTGTATTTCTTAAGTATCAGTTCTTGTGACAACATATGATAAATGGAGAATCTGATCAACAATCAGACAACCGAATGGATAAACCAAATTAGTACCAATAATAAAGCAAAATAAATAAGGGCATTAGAGACTTTTATCTTAAAGACAGAAAAAATCAAATCAGTCTAAGTGTTTAATCATAGCCATTTTTTCAATATAAAGTGGATAATAAATGTTGTTCTTGCTCATTTTTATCTTAAAAAAGATGAGGATTGATGTTATAATTTACAAACCCTTTCGCTGCCTAAACGGATGAGTACACTGAGATATAAAGTAAGAGTAAGAAAAAAATAATACCAAATAAAAGTTTAATATATAAATAAAATGGAAAATCCTTTACGTCTATTTTCGGAACTATCAATTGGTCGTAGAAAAGGGTTCCGATTTTCCCGTTCTGGCTTGAAGGAAATGGATGGCGGGCATCTTAAAATGGAAACATCGAAGGATTGATTATAAGTTTTTAGTAGCAATAGAGTTAACAGTTAATTAATACAATTTAATGCTGCTAAGCTATCCAGAGGCTACATAAAAGTGATAGGTATGCACCAAATGGAATAATTGTGGGTTTGTATAAGGTAAATTGAAGAAGGGACTTCATTATTGAGATACACTTCATATCATCATAA